AAATCACACCAAGCTTTAAATCTCACCTTCACTCCCTACTGAACTGAAGCAGATCTTTTATTCTTTGAACTTAATTTGCTTATCTGTAAAATTAGATAAATAATACCTATCTCATGGGACCATAGGATTAAATAACACAGGTTAAACATTTCATGCAGCTCCTGGTACATAGGAAACACTCAACAATTCTGACAACTAATTATAAGCATTAGTCTGAAGACTTACCAGAGCCACAGTGAAATTAGTAAGGAACTTCAGGGTTAATAGCATCAAGCAGTGTGGCTGTGCAATGCAAGTGTGCATTATCAGGATGCCCTCAGCATTGGGGGCCCTTTGGGACCTCCTAATCCTTGACCTTCTTAGGAGGGCTTACAGCTGAAGTCATACTGTGACCTAGATGATAAGCTGGTTCTCGGGCAGAAATAAGTCTTCTGCAATTAGTGCTCAGAATAACTCCTTCCAGTAGCTATGGTGGGCCTGAGAGACTCGAGAGAATGTGGAGTTGGCATCAGCAGTGGAATATTCTGAAGGCTACGCTTTTTGCCTCCTGCTTTCTCCTCCCCACCCCAGCCTCCAGAGGAGTTTAGGTCAGCGGATCTGCATCTGCACTGTACCTACCACCCCATGATTCAAGTTTCACAACAGCTCCCCCCGACACAATGGCTGTCCAGACAAAAGCACTGTGTGTGGGTACAAAGGAAGAAAGCACTCAGCTAACCAAGTGCTACAGACCCGAGGATCCTCTTCTAGCCTGACACAAATCATCCTGGGGTCTGTTTCTTCCATGTCTTGGACTTGACAGCTCTGGCAAAGGGGTTCATTCCAATGCCAGGATCTGCTCAGAGGGTTCAGTGTGGCAGCCGGAGCTAGAGATGCACTCTGGGCATTTCTGAGGAACACAGTGGCATCTAGTGGTCTGGTGTATGCCCCATCGGTTGATCTACAGCCCTTCCTTAGTTCCAGTCCTCAGTCCTAAGTTTGTGGGTCTGTTTCTCACTAAGAAGCAGATGATGATGGGAGTTGAGGGATGGGTAGGTGGAAGAGTGTGGAGAAAGAAGTAGCGAGAGACTGAAGGCATAGAACTTTTAACAGTCTGCAAGCTGGATGGCCTATGGATTGCCACTGAAATTTTCCTTCCTCCTAGACCCTTGCCATTATCTTTTTGCTGTCCTACAGAAATCTGTCACGGTGATCCTAAAGTATTAAAGGACATCTTGAAAAGCTTCCTCATGAGAAGCTGAAATGACAGTATCAAAATAGAAAGCACCAGTACTTATTCATTGATTCATTTATCTTATAAATATGTATTCACTACTCATTTGTCTCAGGTGATTTCTCATAGTGAAGGATACAATGCTGAATAAAAATCCCCTACTCTATATTTGTTTCTCAAAGAATGTTCCAATAATCCATTAGATACTCCTAGGGAAAAAATTTTTTGGTGTCCAGTAAGTTTAGAAAACATTGCTCAGTATGTTTTCTTCTAGAACATCACATGAACAAGAGTTTATTAAAGACGCCAAGTCTAAAATAAAATAGCTTGATTTATTTAGTCCAGTGTTTCCCAGACACATTTGATCATCCAAGGATGTTCGGGGAGTATACTTTAGAGAAATGTTTGCATACACTTGTTTTGTGTTCTTTGCTGTGTGTTTTTTTTTTTTTAAGATTTATTTATTCAGGCCCTCCCTGGTGGCGCAGCAGGTTAAAGCACTGCACTGGGAAGCTAAAGCCACTTCCACATGAGTTCGATTCCCACCTGCCCGGGAGGTAACCACACGGCACGGCAGACCTCTCCTGACCTGCCCGCTGCTCCCCTCAGCAGTGTACTTCGTCGATCTGCCTGTTCTGCTCCCTACTCTGTCTCTGGTGAGGCCTCTCGCCGCCCCTGAGCCTCTGGCCTGTACCCCAGTTCTGTATGCACAAATAAATCTTTTTTTTTTTTAAAGATTTATTTATTCGTACAGAACTGGGGTACAGACTAGAGATGCGGAGGGTGAGAGGCTTCACAAGAGACAGAGCGGGGTACAGAAAAGGCAGATCGATGAAGTACACTGCTGAGGGGAGCAGCGGGCGGGCCAGGAGAGGTCTGCCTCGCCATGTGGATCTCCTCTGGGGAAGGTGGGGATCAAACTTATGTGGAAGTGGCTTAAGCTTTTTAGTGTAGTGCTTTAACCCGCTGCACCACCAGGAAGGGCCCGTGTTTTAAGTATTTTAAAAAATACTTTCAAGAGTACATGAATCTACTACCAAATGAACAAACATTTTGTCATACTTCTTTCAGGATCTTAACATTATAGATACAGTTAGTCCTTTTCATATAACTAAGGGAATATGATGTCATGTCAAGCAATGGTAAGTGCTTCAAAGAAAATAAAGCAAGATGATTACAATATGCTGTTGGTTACAGATATTGATTGTACAGATACAGATACCGGCGATTGTGTAGCTAGGCACCATCTGTATTTTGAGATGTGTCGTGATAACGTTTCCTCCTACTCGGTAGTGTATGATTCCGTTAACCATAAGGTCAGTCATTTTTATTTTTTTTTATGTGTGTTCCTCTATTAGATTTGTATGTCCTTTCAGTGTGAGACTAATGAAATTGTCAGCAATTGGGAAGAAGGTTAAGTAGTGTCTGCCACATACATACAATTGGTGAGCAAAATCTACTCAAGGAAAAATAGATCTGCTTCTTCCATTTCCCCAGGAAATATTAATTTTAATCTGTTAGCGAAGATAAAAGGAAGTGTAAGAGTGTCAGACAGAGTTAGCTTAACATGTGCTGTGTCTTGTGCATTTTGGAACACAAGCTCTTCATTTAGAGAGGACTGCAGAGAGGTGAGCAGGGTAAACTGGACAGGGAGGGACATGTGCCGTGCTTTGTTTGCCCGGGGCAGAGTGCCCTCATCTGCTTGGTGAAGGTGATCTCCCTTTCCTTTCTCTACTAGCATTTATACTTAATCCTCCAGAGCAGGATCTTCCAATCAGTAAGTTGACTTTCTCTGATAAAGAATTTTTTTTTAAAGATTTATTTATTTATGCATACAGAACTGGGGTGCAGGCCAGAGGTGCGGGTGGTGAGAGGATTCACCTGAGACAGAATGGGAAGCAGAACAGGCCGACTGATGAAGTACACTGCTGAGGAGAGCAGCAGGCGGGTCAGGAGAGGTCTGCTATACCATGTGGATCATCTCTGGGGCAGGGATTGAACTTGCACTGACATGGCTGAGGCTAGCTTGCAGTGCTGGCTTTAACCTGCTATGTGCCATGAGGGAGGGCCCGGGAATTATCTTTAAAAAAAAAAAAAATAAGGATTTTTTTTTTTCATACAAGAACTGGGGTACAGGCCAGAGGTATGAGGTGGGGTGGGGTAAGGAGGTCCACTAGAAATAGAATAGGAAGCATAACAGGCAAATCCACTGAAACACACTGCTGAGGGGAGCAGTGGGCGGGTCAGGAGAGATCTGCTATGCTATGTGGTCACCTTCCTGAGGGGGGGGGTGTAGCTTCATGGTGCTGTGCTTTAACCCATTGTGCCACCAGGGAGAGCCCAGGAGAATTATCTTTTTGAGGTGAATTACTGAATTACTGAAATGCAGTCTTCTGTTCCTAGACTTCCAGCACTAATTTTGACTCAGAATGTGGTCCTTCCAAGTCTCTTGCTATATACATTAGTGTCATCTAGCCATAAAGCATTATTACATACTCAGCCTGTAAGATACCACACCTACTTACATGAGATCCAGATATATACTATCTCCATGTATTTTAATCGTGTTTAAATGCCTATTTGTTAAAAAAAGAGAATCTTTTTTAGAAAATTGTGAATCACAAATGTTTGAAATATAGAGACTACAGCTTGATTTTTAAGTCATTTATGCTTTTATTCATGGTCTCCCTCCCCCACTATGCTGGGTTAAGTATATTTCAAGTTTATAATTAAAAATAATAAGTAATTTTGTTTCAAGGCAACTGTCTGGAGTGCCAGTACAAGTAGTGAGTCATTCCCTCTCCTCCAGGCAAAGTTCTGGAAACCACCAGAGGAGCTTGTAGATGAGAAGGCCATACCTCAAGCAGACTTTGCTTGAGAAGTCATCCATAGTTGAAGGATTCCTATGAGTCAAATTTTTGATAAAGCTTCCCACCCTCTTTCATCAGCTGCTTCTGACTTTACAGTCAATCTCCCTCCCTCTCCCCCTCCCTCTTTCCCTCCCTCTCCCTCTCTCCCTCCCTCTCCCCTCTTCCCCTTTCTTTCTCCCCTTCTCCCTCTCTCCTCTCATTCAACTTTGTGTTCAGCTTTTTCACCACAAACAAATTGTCTCTAGTACAGTTGAGATTCCAGGAAGATTGCCAGGGTGTAGCCTTCAATTCCATAAAAAGGAAAGATACTAACTAAAAACATATACATGTGCACACAGTCTCCCTCACCCTTTCACATGCCTAGTCTCTTACTAAGCTTTCCCCCTTCTTCCTACAAACAGCCCCAAGAGACACAAAATTTGTCTCAGTCACTCCTCCTCCCCCACCCTCCTCTTTTCCAGCACATAGCAAATCACATAAATGTGCTGTCAGTGCGGAGGCCACATGGCTTCCTCTCTGCTCCCCATCCCTCCCCTCACAAGCCTGGGTGATTTATTGGAGGCACATAGGTTACTGTGTTGGGCAATTACTCCTAATGATGACACACTGCTGAGCAAGTCCCAAATATGGCCTTCTCACCCACCCTTCCTAAACCCAAACATCTTGCACAAGAATTCATTTATAAGCTGGGTCCTGTGCCTGGAAGTCCACTCAATGACAACAGCCCACCAAGGCTAACTGCCTTCTCCCCCTGTCTTCCAGCTCCTCTACAAGTGACCTCTCCAACTATGACCATGCTTATCTGAGGCAGAGCCCTGACCACTACAGTTCCCAGGGGAGCATGGAGAGCCTGGAGCCCAGTGGGGGATACCCACCCTGCCATCTGCTTTCTCCTGCCAAGTCTACCAGCAGCATCGACCAGCTCGGCCACCTCCATAACAAGAGAGACTCGGCGTACAGTTCCTTCTCCACCAGCTCTAGCATTGTAGAGTATCCACCCCCTGGCATCTCTAGCCGGGAACATTCAGGCTCAGTGGATGCCCCTTCTGCTCGTGGCAGCCTCCTAGAAGGGATGAGGCAGGCAGATATTCGCTATGTCAAAACAGTCTATGACCCCCGAAGGGGAGTCTCAGCAGAATATGAAGTGAACTCTTCAGCCCTGCTTCTCCAAAATAGGGAGGCCCAGGCATCCGCCGACGGTGAAGACTATGACAAATGGCATAACTGTCCCCGGGGCAAGGGAGCACCACCACCATCCTGGAACCAACAGTGCTCCAATTCCTTGGAAACAGCCAGTGACAACCTGCCTCCTAAAGTGGGTGCACCCCCGCCCCCAGCTCGGAGTGACAGTTACGCAGCCTTTCGGCACCGAGAGCGACCAAGCTCTTGGTCTAGCCTTGATCAGAAACGGTACTGCCGGCCTCAGGTGCACTCTTCAGGCTCCCTGAAATCTTCCTTCGTGGAGGAACAGCTGCATACAGTACTCGAGAAGAGTCCAGAGAATAGCCCTCCAGTGAAGCCCAAACATAATTATACACAGAAGGCCCAGCCTGGCCAACTTCTGCTGCCAACTGGCATCTACCCAGTACCTTCCCTGGAGCCACACTTTGCCCAGGTGCCCCAGCCCTCTGTGACTAGTAATGGTTCACTCTATCCCGCTCTAGCCAAGGAGAGTGGATACGCAGCCCCTCAGGAAGCTTTCGAGAAGATCGCTACCTTGGATGAGAATGGGAACCAAAATGGATCCAGCAGATCTGGGTTTGCCTTCTACCAGCCATTAGAACATGACTCGGTGTCTCCAGTAGAGAGGAAACTTGAAACTTCAGCCAAATGTGTCCCCTACAAAAGTAATTTCCCTTCAGTGCCTGAAAGTGAGGAAGATATCACCTTGAAGAGACATGTCTTACCCCTACAAGGCAACAGCCTACATCCCACTGAAAGAAAGAGCACCCACAGCAACAAACTATATTCTAATCACCACAGTTCTCCTCAGGCACAGGCTTGGCAAGTGGATGAAGAGAAGAGATCTTTTAGACCGTCAGAACCTTGGGAGGGTGATTTCCAGGAAGACCACAATGCCAACCTCCGGCAGAGGCTGGAGAGAGAAGACCTAGGCCAGGGCCAGTCCAGCAACTTTGGCAGGACCAAGTCCACCTTCTCCTCTCTCCAGAACATACCTGAAAGCCTAAAAAGGCAAAGCTGCCTGGAGTCAGGAGAGGGAGCCCAGGAGAACTACACAGATAACCCTTCCACCTGCGCAGTCAATTTGAAGGGAGAGGAAGCTGGAAGGAAAGTTGTGCCTAATCACAGGAGCCATCTGGACAGGCTGGTTTCCTATCCAAGGCCCGAGGGGAGAGCCAGTGCTTTGGCCTCTTTCCAGAGTTCAGATCCAAGATTTGAAGAACCACATTCCCCACCCCACCAGCAGACATCCAGTCTGGGTCGAAGGAGGCTCAGTTCAGGCGGGACTTCAGTTCTACAGGGCTTTCAGTACGGGAAGGCCCACTGCTCTGTGCTGGAGAAGGTGTCCAAGATCGAACAGCGAGAGCAAGGGAGCCAGAGACCCCCAAGCGTGGGCAGCTCCAGCTATGGTCATCACTACAGGCCCAACAGGACGCTCCCAGCTTCTACTTCCGGAAGTGATTTTGAGGAGACAAAAGCCAATATCCATTTATCCGAATCCACTGAAGCTGTAGGCAGTGGGGAGCAGCACTTCAAAAACGGTGAGCCAAAGTTGGAAGAGGTTTCCTGGCAGCCATGTGGTCAACAGCTGAAGAGAGAAGTGGAGGGAGGCCGGCACCCCCCACTCCAAGGCGGTGAGCCCCAGAGGCAGGACACTCGCCTGCTCCGCAGCCAGAGCACCTTTCAGCTTTTCAGCCAGGTGGACAGGGAGGCCCTGTGGCAGGACGACAGGCTCTGCATACCCGAGTCACCAGTGCAGGAGGCCCCCTTCAGCCGAGCCTACCGGAACAGCATTAAGGACGCGCAGTCCCGCGTCCTGGGGGCCACCTCCTTTCGACGCCGGGACCTGGAGCTGGGAGCATCCTCGGCTTCCAAGCCCTGGCGCCCACGGCCCGCCTCAGCCCATGTGGGGCTGCGGAGCTTGGAGGCACCAGCCACCGCCTCCCCACACACGCCCCGTGAGCGCCACAGTGTGACCCCGACCGAGGCAGACCCCGGAGGCCAGCCTGTGCTTTCCACAGCTCGAAGGGGGCCGCGCCGGCGTCTGACCGCAGAACAGAAGAAACGCTCCTACTCGGAACCGGAGAAGATGAATGAAGTGGGCGTCTCAGAGGAGGCCGAGCCGGCCCTCGGGGGCTCGCAGAAGAAGGGGCTGCGTTTCCTGGAGAACACAGTAGCTGACCGGCGACGCATCTTCGAACACGAAAGCAAGGCCTGCTCCACACTCAGCCTCTCAGGGCCAGAGCTGAAGCAGTTCCAGCAGAGTGCCCTGGCTGACTACATTCAGCGCAAGACTGGCAAGCGGCCCTCTTCCGCCGCAGGCAGTGGCCTCCAGGAGCCCGGGCCCCTGCGTGAGCGCGCCCAGAGCACCTACTTCCAGCCTGGCCCGGTGGTGCCAGAGGACTCTGGCCTCGCCCCTGCCTCCAGCCTCTGCTCTCTGAGAGAGCCAAGCCTGCAGCCCCGCAGGGAGGCTGCCCTAATGCTGGCTGCAGTGGGGAGTGGGGGGGATCTCCCACAGACTCTCCCACAGACCCCTCGAGATCGCAGCAGCTCTTTTGCTGGTGGTCGCCTAGGGGAATGGCGACGTGGGGACCAAGCTCAGCGGGAGCTGTACAGTAGGGCCAACGGTGGTGGACCAAAAGGCACCCTGAGGGTGGACAGAACCCCTGCGGAGTCTTCCTCATGGGGGGCTGCAGACGGAAAGACCATGAAGTCCATGTCTGCAGAGGACCTGTTGGAGCGTTCAGATGTCCTGGCTGCTCCCGTCCATGTGCGGTCACGGTCATCTCCGATTGTGGACAAGAAACGACCGGTAAGTGTAGCAGGCAGGTCTTGATACTATCCCACTGGGGCCTGGAAGCTTTAGTGGCACACTCCTAACATCGCCTCACGTCATCAGTTTTCCTTTTTACATATAAAGCAGAATTTGTTTTTTGTTTTTTTAAAGATTTATTTATTTATTTGTACAGAATTGGGGTACAGGTCAGAGATGCAGAGGGTGAGAGGATTCAACAGAGAGAGAGTGGGGAGCAGAACAGGCAGATCAACAAAATACACTGCTTAGGGGAGCAGCGGGCGGGCCGGGAGAGGTCTGCCTCGCCATGTGGTCACCTCCGGGGCAGGCGGGAATCGAACTCATGCGGAAGTGGTTTAAGTTTCTTTGTGCTGTGCTTTAACCCGCTGCGCCACCAGGGAGGGCCCAGAATTTGTTTTTATGAGTATATTTCTCAGTGCCTCTGTCACATTGTCCTAACAGATATGGCTACATCCATTACCTATATTTCTCCCTATCTATGTGTGGGTAGATAGTTGTATGGGTAGAGACATTTACATTTACTTACAGATATCTATATGGGTGTGTGTATATATATATATATTTTAACTCATTGAGTAAAAGCTCTAAGTCAGTCATAGTTTAATTAAAGACTTAGTTTTGCACCTCTATTTTTTTTGTTTAGACTTCTGCATTTACAAAATAGGTAATCACTCCCTTTGATCCTAGTTGATTGTTGAGTTTCAGATCTTCAGCTAAGTATGCTTTACCTTTATTATCGAATTAATCTTCACAGTAATCCTATGTGGTATATTTTCTGTATCAAACCCATGTCTTCATGACTCCCACCTGAGCCAATTCTGTAGACTATCCAGGTGTGGCAGTAGGATCCACCTTTCAAATTCTCACATGAAGGAATTTTCTGATAACCTTACTGTGCAAACTGTGAAGTGCTTTCCCCTAGAAATGTCAGGTAGAGACACAAATAGAACCTGAGCACAGACTCCCAGGAGTGTTAATCCTTAGCCCTAATTCCCTAATTCTTAGCCCACCTCTTAGCTTCTCTTCTGCTGCCCATCAGCGGCCTGGCTCTTGCTTCCCTTCCCACAGAGGCAGTACTGGGAATTCATAGAGAAATTAGCACAGGGGAGGCACCCCCTTGCGCACGTATCAAATTAACTGGTGCTGTGAGAAGTGATAGATAATATGCCGTCAAAGTGAAATTCTGCTTTTAACTCAGGATCTGAGAAAGTTTCTCTTGAAGGAGATGTGGTTTGAGCCAGGCTGTAGAGCATGGGCGGAATGTTGACAAAGGGTGGGAGTCATATATGGCAGGTGTGTGTTAGAGGAAACGGCCTCAGACAAAAAGACAAAGACATTCAGCTGTTGCTGCCCGAGAAATTCGCTTGCTCCTGAAACACATACACACAGCTTTCTGAGAGACAGTATTTCTGTCCAGCAATGTTTCCTCCTGAGTACAAGCCCACAAGAAAATCTATAGAGGTAGTTCTTCATGAGCACTCAATAGACATTTTCCGCTTTTCAGAACGAAGAACAGAGATAATTTCTACCCCTTACTCTACCACTGAAACACTTTTAAGGTCCATGAATGTACATACAATTACACGTGTCTGATGGGTTTCAGTAACTTACAGAATAGGAAGGCAAGCATTTTATTTCTCTCCTCATGTTCTAAAGAAAATAGAAGTGTTCAGTTGAAAACAAGTCATTTTCTGATGTTTATTCCCCACTAGATGTCATTATTCTCCCCAGGAATTGGTATAGTGTTATCTTACCTTCCCTATAAAAGATTTCTTCATCCTGATAAACTGGGAAATAGAGCTTAAACAATAGGTGGTAGAGAAGAGCCTTTTAAGTCCCGGTTAAATGTATTTGAAAAGCTTTTCAGAAAGACAATTTGCAGAACAGTATTTAGGTACTCATGTCAATAAAAGGGTACCATATCTGATATCAGTTAATTTGGGAATATGACACTAGAGGGAGAAAATACTTCAAAATGAAGTACTTTATGTGCTGCTTTGCTCTTACAGATTTTGAAAACGAGTCATTACTCCCTCACCCCCACCCCCAGTTAAGCTAAGGTCATGTTCCCGAGCTTAAGTCTTGTCTGCCCTGGGACCTGGTCCATGGCAAGGTCTGCTCTGTGCAACTAATTCCTACATCCTTCATTTGCTTTATTTAGCACTAGTTAAAAACAAAGTAAAACTAGTCTCCACATAGCTATTGTGATTATTATTTCAATATATTTGTGGTTTTTACTTGAATATAAGGAACTTATAATAAATTAGGGTGAAAGTATTGAATAAGATTTTTTTCCATCTTCACTCTAGAGAAAGAGCTCTGAGAAGTTCAATGACCACTTAGTGATCTTCTGCCTGCGGTAAACCCAAAATATAGAGTCTGTTTCTGGTGGCATCCCAAACAAATGCTACTTGTTCCTGCCAGCCAGATGCTATCAGAGCAGGATTTTACAACCCTATGATAAGGGTTGTAAAACCCTTTTCAAAAGTCCTTCAAAACTCCTTTTCAGAAGTCCATAGTGAGGACAGTTTTCTGCTTCTAAAAACAAGTCAACATGGAAATCAATTCCTTGGCTTATAAAAGTTGATCATTTTGGGGACTAAGTAATGACTCCAGAAAGCTGCCTCCACCTGGGGCCTGAGACTGCTCAGATTCTCAGCAGACCCGGGCTTGTCTTTAGCAGACAGGCTTATTGTCCTCTCTGATACATATAGCTTCCCACTGCTTTGTCTTTATTTGAAGGCAAATGAAGTTGCAAACAACTGGATGTCAGTGATGGAGCTGAAGGGTACATCAAATTCTGGTCTGTTTCTGGTCTCAGTGAGACCCTGGAAAGCAACCGTTTTTAAGTAGGTGGGCCTTACAAGCTGCAGAAAAATACCAGATGTTTCTGCCTTGGAGACAGAAATCTGCACCTACTCATTCCACAGATCTAGAATCCAGCAGGGTGATAAAGAGAAATCCTGGAAGTAAGAATTCTAGTTGGGAATTTTTCCCCCAGGTACTGAGTTAAGAGGTTTCTCTGCTTCTCACTGTATTTTCAGAGACCTTATTTTCTGATAGATAACACATTCACTAAGTGGCGGTGTGACAAAGGTTATTAAATTGCTGAGGAAATTGTGTGATGCATAGAAATCCCACAACGTTGGAGATACAGGCTTGCTTCTGTTGGATGCAGCTTGTAAATCCTTGGGGGCGGGGGCGGGGGCGGGAGAGACACATAAGTACAGAATCAACTTCCCACAAAATGTAAAATTACAAATAATAATCAAATATGTCCTATACACCAGTCATTGTGCAGCTGTAGAGATGTAAAAGTAATCCTTAAAGCTGTGTAAAGAGGTCAATACTGCTTTTCTCTGTATTAGAGGAGAAATCTAAGACACAGAAAGGATGAGAAATTTACCAAGGCAGTGGGAGCAAGGTTTTGACCCCCTAACTGAGTCCTCAAATCCCTCCTTGAATTAAGAAAGACTAGGGTAAAGGGAGGGAGGCAAGAGTTAAATATCTTATATATGAGAACTTTATCCAGTGAATTAACTTCATCTTACCATTTATTGATTACTGTTACTGGTATAGAAATATTTTAAGCTAGGCCTTTCCTATTCCAAAGTAGATAGCTATTTTGCTGTCTCATATTTCAGTGGTCACAGAGCTGTTAGGATAACTGAGAACCCAAAGCAAGAGTGAGGGCTGGGATTCAGTAGACTTCAGGGTTATGGTTTTCAGTGTGTGTCTAACGAAGAATAAAAGCTGATAGGCTTGAAGTCACGTGTCAAGGCAGAGGCTGTTAACAAAAACAAATGGACATTTAAGCATCTGTTGGTACAACTGTAAACCTGGTATTTCTCCCAGATGCTCCTTTTTCAGAATTGCCCTAAGTACTTCATACTTCTTACCAGTTTACAGAAAATAAGGTCACCTTTGACAGTGAATATATGCTCAGGCGTTTTCAATAGGTTGGGAAGGCATTTTTCCACGTGTCTAAGTAGTATTTCAACCGACAGGAGATTTTAGAGAATTTTCTCAATAGTCTATTACTGGGTCTAATTTCGGGTCTAATTTCCTTATTTTACACACACATAAATACCAACTTAAGTTCATAATGGAATCCAAAGAAAATAATAGAATGAGAAAATGTAAACATTGCTGGGTTAGGAGTTTAATGGGGACCTAGACACTTTCCAATTAACTATTGGCAAATGGCACGTTTATGTTAACAGAAGGGGCAGAATGAGGAAAGACTTTCAAAGGACCATGAGGTTTCCCAGAGAGAAGTCTCCTTCTGTGTAGTGATATTTGAGCAAATCAGGGACGCATGGGATTCCTTTTTCTCAAACCAGTGGAGTCTGATTGCGTCCAATCCAGCCACCACTTACCTGTTAAAATTCCAAAGAAAGATCTTGGGCTTTGAAGAGATCATGGTTGAACTCTAGCTCCTCCATCTGTTGAACTATGGGTAAGATACTTCTCTGAGCTATAATCACTCTCCCTGCCTGCATTGTTGTAGATACTAAAGTATGGAAGAAATGTGAGCTGCCTACTGCACATAATTTGAGGATTGTGCGGTACTTCTCAGAGTGCCTGATAGATACGTAGTAAACACCCAAAAGGGGACAGCTGTGATTACTAATAATCATGTATTTGTTTCTTCTTGGCCCGTACTGCCCTCTTTGGGTCTTTGTATTGCTTGCTAGTACCTAAACTGCTGGCTGAGTGTGGGTACTGAGGGGCCGGGGAGGTGGAAGGAGTGAAACAAGTTGCTGAAATTAAGTATAGAGTTTATGTATAGCTATGTATGTATTTTTTCTGTCTCCTAGTATAAGTAATTGAGATGTAATATTGTCACTAACAACATCATTGTCTTCACTAGGAATCTGTTCACATGGCCCAAATTTCACATCAAAAACTGATCTAGCACCCTTTCAGGAAAAACGTGCATGCGTGCTCACACACACACCTGATTTTAAAAAGTAATGGTTACCCTGTGGAGTCCCCAATTATTACTATTATATGTGAGGGATTTTTTTCCCCCCAGAGGGACTATATTTCTACCAGATTACAATTCTTCTTTCATTCATTATAACTCAGAACATTTGTAGTTTTGCTATATTCAATAATCTGTGCTTTTCCCATCATCTCCCAAATTCCCCTATTGCTGTTTTAGAAGCTTAGTCTTTTGAGTCAGTTTTCATCTTTAAGTATAGAATTGTTTTGAACCATGGAGATAATTGTTAATCAGTCTTTTTGCTTGGGAGATGTCCTTTTAGATGAGACACACGGTGAGACTGAGTAGCTCTGTGCTAGTGCCCAAAGCAGCCTCTCTGGGTCTGTCTCATCAGTGCAGACGGGTTAACATCTGAGACTGAGAATGAAGTGGGACCCTATGGAAGAGTGCCTACCATGCGGTGCCTGACAGCCAGGAGTAGCCCTCCAGTAATATCTCCGCCCCCCCTTGGCAAACTGGAATGCCTATTTGTTGGTATTAATGCTCCGCCTTTCTTATGTTTCAAGGATGTGCTTTTGGGAGAAGACAGTGGCTTTGGTTTCCTGAAGGATCCACGTTGTTTGGCCGACCAGGGACCCAGGTATGTGTATTTATGGTGCCTCTCCCTCAGGAATGCAGCAGGACTTAGTTGTTTTTGTGCCTTCTACAAGAGATTGAAATGTGCTGTTGTGATATTTCATATTATTGTGTGCTGCCTTTTCAGTTTGTCTAGGTTGTGGGGAAATTTTTGTTTATCCATTGATGACTTGCTCTAAGAATACTTCAGATAGGTTTTGAATGTGAGATGCTTTAGCACGGACACAGCTAATGTCCATGGTCTTCTGAGGCGTGTTCTGTGCCAGGGAATCGGCTGTGGTGACTTCAGCACTCGAGGAAGAAGCCTTTCATGAACACCTCACAAAGCAAGATACACCACAGACAGCACCCACGTGAAAACTAAAGCTCCAGAGTCATCTTTTCTAGGCACTTCAGGATAGTCACTTTTTAGAAATTATCATCAAAATAATTTTTCTTAAATAGAACAATGTAATAGATGGTCTTATAGAATTTCAATTTTTAAATTATTTGCATGGAGCTTAATTAGATATTTCAAAGAGAGTTTTCCTCTGTATGAAATTTTAAAGCAGATGATAAGGCTATTTGCTGTAATCTGTTGCTTATGGTAATAAATTTTAAAGCAGATGATAGGGCTATTTGCTGTAATCTATTGCTTATGGTAATATATTTATGCCCTCCCTTCTACCATCCATTTTTTTTTATTGAGCAAAAAATATCTACAACATTATATTACTTTCAGGTGTACAACATGATTTGAATCTCATCAGTATTTGTGATATTGCAAAGTGATCTTGTTAGCATCCCTCACCCTATATAGTTTATAGTTGTAATGCTTTTTCTCATTATCTTTAAAATTTATTCTGAAAGAAATTTCAAATATGCAATACAGTATTATAAATTATGGTCACTATGCTGCATATTACATACCCAGGGCCTGTTTCAAACACTGCCTTCACCCCTTCACTCTGCCTCTGATAATCACTAAATTGTCTCTATTTATGATCTCGGTGGTGGCTTTTTTTTTTTTTTAAGCATATATGAGGTCATATAGTATTTGCCTTTCTTTGTCTGACTTATTTCACATAGCATCATGCCCTCAGTGTCCATCATGCTGTCAGAATGGCAAGATTTCATTATTTTTTATGAATGAACATTCATTATGCGTGTGTGTGACATTTCCCCGCTGACTCCTCATCCATTAATGGACATCCATATGTCTGCTATGTAAATAACTCTGCAGTGAACATAATAGTGCATATATTTTTTTCAAGTTAGTGTTTTTGTTTTATTCAGGTAAATACCCAATCGTGAAACAGTGATCATGTAATTTAATGTTTTGATGAACTTTCATATTCTGCTTCCCATAGTCACTGCACCCACGTATATTCCCACCAGCTGTGGGCAAAGGTTCATTTCTTCTCCACATCTTCACAAACATTTGTTAGTCTTGCCTTTTTGAGTAGCCCTTCTAACAGATGTGAAGTACTGTCTCATACTTTTGACTTGCATTACCCTGACTTGTGATGTTGAGCACCTTTTTCTGTACCCACTTTTCGTTCTGTATATCTTTGGAAAAATGTCTCTTCAGATCTGCCCAATTTTAAATTGGATTACTTTTCTTTGCTGTTGAGTTGTATGAATTCTTGATATATCTTGAATATTAAGACCTTATAAGATACATAATTTGCAAACATTTTCTGCCACTCATTAGGTTACACTTTCAACTTGTTGATGATTTCCTTCACTTTGCAAACCCATTTAGTTTGATGCAATCCCACTTATTTATTTTTGCTTTTGTTCCTTTGTTTTTGGTATCATATCCAAAAAAAAAAAAAAATTTGCTTACCTGTGGACCTCTGGTGGGTCCGGGACCTGGGGCACCTGTGAAGGACGAACCAGAGTGATGACTGCTATGCCCAGCATGCAGTGAATCTTTATTTTGCAGCGTGCTCTTTATATAGTCCACATTATCAAGCTGAAACAATAGATTTTGACTTAATCTGTCTAGGCAGTCTCAAGCAGTAACAGCAGCATACTGACTTATTCTAACTCTGTATCTGGTGTTCCAATTCTTGGAACACCGTGTCCAGCTCCAGATGGCCGAGCCCTCGCACGCAGCCGGACACTTCTCCTGATAAGCTCTTTTGCTGTCTTTCTCAGAAGTGGCTGCTTGCTAGCATGACGTATTTTCTCACATGCTTGGAGCCCAGGCCCAGCACTTGAGAGCGTTCCCAAATGCGCATGTGCGCTCTCTTGCCTTTCAGGATCTAAGTCCTGATGCCAGTCAAGGTCATGCAAGGAGCTTTGCCAGCACTTACCACTTGTTTTCTTCTAGTAATATTATGGTTTCAGGCCTTAGAGTTAAGTCTTTTAATCCGTTTCGAGTAGATTTGGGGGCATTGTATGAGATAGGAGTCAAATTTCATTCTTTCACATGTGGCTATTCAGTTTTCTCACTACCATTAATGGAAGAGCCATTTCCCATTGTTTATTCTTGTCTCCTTTGTCCTAAGTTAATTGACTGTAGATGCTGGGGCTTATTCTGGGCTTTCTATTCAGTGCCAAGTGTTTTATTCCATTATACTTGTTTTGTTGCACACCAGGAATTATGATGCCTCTAATTTTATTCTTCTCAAGACAACTTTGACCATTCGTAGTCTTTTGTGGTTTCATGCAAGTTTTAGATTAGAATTATGTTGTAGTTTTGTGAAAGATCCATTGGAATTTTGATGGGGAGAACACTGATTCTGTAAATTGCTTTGGGGTATGGATATTTAAAAATGTTAATCCTTCAGTGCTTGAGCACAGAATGTCTTTCTGTTTATATGTGTTATCTTCCAGTTTCTTTCATCAAAGGCTTAGCATTTTCACCACCTCAGTTAAACTTATTCCTATTTTATTCTTTTTGATATAATTATAAAAGGATTTTTATAAAAGATTTATTTATGCATACAGAACTTGGAGTACAGGTGGGCAGGGGTGGTGAGAAGATTCACCAGAGACAGAGTGGGGAGCAGAACAGGTGGATCTATTGAAACACACTGCTGAGGGGAGCAGCGGGCAGGTTGGGAGAGGTCTGCTGTGCCATGTGGGTCACCTCCCTGGCTGGGAATCAAACTTGTGCTGAAGTGGCTTCAGCCATTTTGAAGTATGATGCTTTAACCTGCTGCGCCACCAGGGAGGGCCCATGGAAGTATTTTTTTTTTATTTCTTTTTCTGTTCATTTAATATTAGGGTATAGAAATGCAATGATTTTTGTATATTGGTTGTGTATCCTACTTTATTGACTCCATTTATTCCAGTGGTTTCTGTTGTAGACTTTAGAATTTATATATTATCATGTTTACCTTCTATGTATTTTCAGACCAGTTTTGAATTTTTCCTTATTGTTTAAATATTTTGTTCTATCATTGTTTCTCTTTCTACATTCACCTTCTCAGTAACTTAATACAGGCCCTTAGAAGCCATCAATGTGACCAGGAATTTGCTTTTAAGTTCCATACATTACTGCCATTGTGTATCCTTCCACAGTTTGTGTTCTTGCTCCTATAGGTATGCCCAGAGTAAAAGTATTCAAGGTGAGACTGAGGCTTTGGTTAGTTTGGGTTCATTAATTAAAAGCTGGAGACACAGAAAATTTAACAATAAATTAAGTGCTGCTGAAAGACAGCTGGTTTGAAATCAAAGATGAGACTGAACAACAACAACAAAAATCAGATAACTCGATTCCAAGAAAGACATAAACAACTTTATCCAAAGATGACAAATAGCCAACAAGCATATGCTTCTCACACTGTATTATAAAAGGAACTCAAACAAAATATTTATTACCCTATTCTTTATTCTTGGAAAACTATAATCACCAAGGGGAAGCATTCTTAATCAAACTGAGCATTTAACTAAAACAGTACCTTCAAAAATACAATTTCTATAATCTGTTAAGAGTGTACAAGATTTTTACAAACTGATAAAAACATCATGTCAACATTTATTGGGCTAGATCTTTAAGAGTGTTATACTAATTTGTTGGATGTTTTAATGATGTTTCATTAAACACAGAGCCTTAAAGTAAACTAGGGGTACCCAAAATTAAACTAGAGGTACTCAGACATTAAAACATCAAAGTCCAGTTTACTCCAGGTCCTATTTGAGGATGCGGAGTTTACAAATAGCTCATGCCCTACCATCTCTAAAGAGCTGTTAGGCAGAAGAGACACTGTTCAACAGACATTACTGGGAAGGACTTTGTGCCAGGAATTCCAAAAGGAGTAAAACATGGAAGTAAAACATGGAATGACTTTGTGCCAGGAATTCCAAAATGAGTAAAACATGGAAGTAAAAAGAACCCCCAGTGAATCTCCTGCCTATGGGCTTTGGGAATACCCACTTGGGAGCCCACCAAGAAGTATAGAGTAGCCAAGTTTAGATACTGAGAGGTTTCTGGTAAAGAAACCATCTCTGAATGAAAGGGGTCTAGGAGATTGAAAGAAGTGTTTCATCGAAGAGAAAAATGAGACGTTACTCAACTGTGCACATTTATAATAAAGAAAAAAAATACATGAGGGGAGTTAATTTGGTTCTTTGCAGTCTCCCTTCCTTCCATATGCTGTGTGGAATGATTTCCCTGGATATGGAGGATTCGCCTGGCACATGGAGGATTTTGTGGCTGGTCTGTGTGAAACTCTGACTTGGAACTGAGCCTCGGCTTCCTGAGACTGGGGTCTGTAAAACGAAAACTGCCATCTGTGCTCCAGATTCACTTGCACATGAGACAAATGTGGCGTTTACAACCGGGGGTGGTTTGCTAGAGAATTTTTGTGCTCACATTAACTCCTGCATGGCAGGAAGGCAGTGCCACAGATTTCTGTTTTCCTTATTTCTTTCTTCTTTTAAAACACAATAACGAAAGCCTCAAAACTGTTGGATTTGTCCTTGGAGCCTAAGGATACCTGTTTAAATCACAATGCCCCCTGTTTGCCAGTTCTCCAGAGGTGACTGCTTATTAGTTCCATCAGTGACACTCTCCCTCTACTTTTCACTTTCCATTTAAAGAAATGAAAACACTTCAAATTCAGCAGCCCACACAAATGCTTGCCAAACAGACCTCCCCTGTGGGGATCGTGCTGGGAGAGGAGGAGGCAGCATTCTTTCTCCCCAGAGTCAGAGGCTGGTTCCCAAAGTAGTCTTAAAGAGCAGGAGAAAGTACCTACTTGTGCCTATATCCTGAGCCTGCCCTCAGAAGCCATTCTGTGTGGGAGGTAGGCGTGAGAGAGGGCTAGTAAAAGGAAATGCCTTGCGACCCCAGACTTGTCATGTGGTATATTCCTGTAGGAGTTCACGCCTGTCTGGTATTTTGTTTTTTTTTGTTTTTTTTTTTAATGTATATCATTCTTCATTTTGTACATTTGTTTCATCTCACTTGTAATCCCTGTGGACTTCCCACCACCAGTTCACCCGTGTGCCATCACCATAATCCCGTGTGATGATCCCCCAGTTTTGATCCTGGTCCTCTCTCCACCCCCATAGAATGTCTCTGGTTTATATTTGCTCATTGATTTTGTTTTTACTTTATTACAGTTGCTTTTTCTTTTTCCCCCAATCTCTTAGATTCCTGCTATGAGTGAAACCATCTGGTATTTTTCTTTTTCTTTCTGGCTTACTTCACTAAGTATGATCCCTTCCAGCTCCACCCATATTGCTGAAAGAGGCATGCGTTTATCTTTTATGATTGCTGCATTATATTCTATTGTGTGTATATGTATCACATCTTCTTAATGCAGCCATCTATTTTTAGGCATTTTGGTTGATTCCACATCTTCCCCATTGTAAAGAGAGCAGCAATAAACTTAGGGGTACAGGTGTCTTTTTGAATTAATGTTTTCAGAGTCCTGTCTGGTATTTTCCTTAAATTCTGCTGTGTCTATGAGCAGGCAGAGGGAGGCAGTGTGCAGAGTCTGGAGTCCTACTTCCCATTTCATTCCATGAAATGATCCTCGTGCTTTATGTTTGCTCTTTTCTTCAGACTATAACCCTCATGTTTGCATCCTCCTCCAGGTTATTCAGTTGCTCAGAAAGAGGCCGAGAAGAAACGCTTTTGCTCAAGCACCATCCCAGCCTTCGCTGGGGTGGTTTAGGTTGCAAAGCCGCCGTTGGTTCCTCAGTTCACAGCGAATGTCCTGGACCCCTGGACCATCAGAGGCAAGCCAGCAAAACACCTTGCCCCCGGCCTCTGCCCACAGGAATGCAGGGGCAGCTCACAGACACCAGGGTTATACCACTAACACCACTCAACTCAGCTATGCCCTCCCCTCTTCCCTCTGGCTCATCGGCTGCTGCCAACTCACTGACTGGAAGGGATGGTGAAGTGAGACAACAACCTCTTTTAACCCACCCCTCTGCAGTAACCCACAGAAGCAAAAGTCATAACCTGGCCCAGCCTTCCAGTCCCAGAGGCCTTGAGCCCAGCAGTCCAGAGCATGGCGTAGAAGAAGCAAGGAAGAGGGGCTCCCTGCCTCAGCGGCCTGCACACACCTGGGTGAAGTGGGCGCATAGTGTCAGAGAGGACAGCCCCCCCAAGGAATTCCCAACGCCTGCCTTTGCAAACCAGAAGCACTCTATAAAGCAGCAGTATCTTCCAAGTTCAAGCAGCACTTCTGACCCAGAGACACCTCTTGGGGCCTTGAGCACTCCAGGAAGGATCTCTCTCCGAATATCTGAATCGGTCCTGCAGACCTCCCCACCACCCAGGGAAGACTATGATGATGAGGTTTTTCTCAAGGACTTGCACCCGAATGCCACTTCCAGCCCTACATTTGAAGCTCT